AATCTGAATTAATTTACTCACACACATGGATATAAGCAGATTAATATGCATCAAAAATACAATAACAATTGTTGTCGATTTTGGAGCCATTTATAGTAGCCTCAGGTATTTTTCATTAATTTAATGATTTTTAAAATTGCCATAACTTAAAAATTTTCATTCAGACTAAGCCCATATATTCTACACAGCATAAGGACAGAAATATGTATCAGAAAATGTAATACAAATTTTAAATAACTTTTAGGCAATTTAAAAAAAGTTAGCTTTGTGTACATGTACTTTTCTGGATTATCTAAAATTAAAATAAATTAAAATAACATGACATGATCGCTCAAAATCTTTCTATTATTCAATAAATTCATAAAAAATAAATTAAGAAACATGCATTACATTACATTACTTACATGAAATACATGAGAGTCTTTTAAAGCTACAAGCTCCTATGAGAGAGAAAATGAAAGAAAGGATAGGAGGAGAGAGATGAGAACAATAAAGTATAAATATACTACTAACTGATAATAATCCACCATCACAATCTGTCCATCTACTAAATAGATAAATAAATGAATGAATTAATAATATTTACCTTAATTCAGAGTTTCTGATTTCTAATGTCACCATGTTCAATAACGAGCCCCACCCTTTGCATTCCTTTGCAAATTTGCATCCGGTTAGCTCAAGGTTAGCTTGTTCCGAGGCTTGTTCTTTTATCAATGGCAACTAAAACCAGTTCTTGTTCCTCTTCTCTGAGTCTCTTCTGTTCTCCTTTGACAATTGGTAATGTTCATTAATTATCTATGTATCATTGAATATTATGATTTTAGAGCAACTTATTGATGTACTTAATCTGTTGAAGAGATGTGGTTTCCCTCAGAGGAGATGGAAGGAACTAGGACTGACACTAGGACTACTTAAGAACACACTGGACGCCATTGAAAGGAATCATCCTGGTGATGTATCTGGATGCTTGACAGAGTGTCTCTCCCAGTGGTTGTCCAGAGCTGATAATGTTGACAGTAAAGGAAGAGCTACCTTTGACTCACTGTCAGATGCTCTTAAATCTATGAATGAGAATGCTGCAGCAGACAAGTTAGATCAAGAGAGTAAGTTAATATCACTGATTGTATTAGTATTGACTGTGTGTGTGTGTATTCTATAGAACGTAATGCTATGATCAGTGGTAATGATATCAAAGGAACCAATGATGTATACAGTACTGCTACTGGTGAGTGTGACAATACTGGACTAAAGCATCAGATGTACAAAAATTATCATTTTCAGAGATTGGTGGAGGAGTGTAATTTGTTTGTAAATATTTAAATTGTTAAATTAAGTAAAAAATTCATAGTATATAAGCCAAAATTGTTGATATGTAGTATGATAGCTATGAAATGCTTCAATTAAGATAATTACTACAGTTATTGCTCTATCCTCCTACAGGTACAAACAAGCCATTGATAGGAGGTCCTCCACTTTCTCCTATTGCATTAATGGATATATCAGATGATATACCAAAAGTATCTGAATTGATAGAGTTTCATGAGTTATTGATCAAAGGACAACTGGAGGAGTCTCTACCACTGCTTGATGCTGATTCTATAAGAAAGATTAGAAATGCTGTTAATGATCATGAAGGACTGTCTCTTCTTAGACAAGCATTTGAAGAACATCCAACACTGCTACATGAAATGAGAGTAGCTACTGGAAAAATAAAAGGTATAAATGTTTCAAAGAGTGTATTAAATTTAGCTAACGTAATGAGCAAGCATGTCAGTTTTTATTAAATTAATATTAATA